GTGGTTGTGGCGGTTGTGGTAGTGGTGTTGTAGATTGCGGTGGTGGTGGTAGTGGTGGTGGGTTTTTGTGGTGGTGGTGGTTGTGATGGTGAGTTGTGGGGGTGGTGGTGGTTGTGGTGGTGTGGTGGTGGTGAGGTGGTGGTGAGGTGGTGGTGTGACGTGGTTTGTGGACGTTTGTTGTGGTGGTGGTGGTGGCGGTGGTGGTGGTGTGTTTGTTTGTGGTGGTGGCGGTGGGTGGTGGTGCTGGTAGTGGTTGTGGCGGTGGTGGTGGTGGTGTGGTAGATTGTGGTTGTGGTGGTGGTGGTGGGTTTCTGTGGTGGTGGTGGTGGTGATGGTGAGTTGTGGTGGTGGTTGTGGTGGCGGTGGCTGTGGTGGTGGTGGTGGTTGTGTGGTGCTGTTGTTGTTGGTGGTGGTGGTGGTGGGTTGAGGCGGTGGTGGTGGTGGTAGTGGTGGTGGTGGTGGTAGTGGTAATTCGTCGCTGCTCCCCGCCGTCGCTGGCGCCCAGCGCCGCCGCTGCTGGCGCGCCGCCAGCGCCGGCGCCGGCGCGAAGGGGGGGGGGGTGGTTGAAAGGGAGGGGGGTTGAACCCCCCCCCAACGAGCTTGACCTGCTGGTCATCGTCGGTGCGGTCCCCGCCGTGGCACTGCTGGCGGCCGCCACGCCGCGCCGGCGCTGGCGCAAGGGGGGGGGATTTGACCCCCCCCCCACCCCCGGAGGAGAGGGGGGTTCGGGACGGAGGGGGTTTGGGGGTGAGGGGAGTCCCCCTGGTTTTGATCGACGGCGCCGAGTGTTCAGGGGGGGGGGGGGGGCACCCCCCGGTTTGAAACGCGTTTTCTCGTATCTCACGAGCTGATACGATTATCCAGATTATCTGTTCAATCGAACACATCCCGAGGAGACTTCGAGTGCTGCCATCGGTTGATGCATTGCAGCTTCAATAATACTCCTTGGGTTTACACTGGTACTCCTCCTCCTTCCTCCTCCTCCTCCTCCTCCTCCTCCTCCTCCTCCTCCTCCTCCTCACCCTTCTCTCGGTAGGAATGAGAGGATCGTGACGTTTTTCGCCCGATTTGCTCGGCCCCCCTGGAAGGGGGGGGCCTCGCCGCAATGGCCGGGTTCCCCTCGGGCTCGCACCGTCCCGCGGGGGCCACAGGAGGGCTGACACATGCACGCCCGCAGCTGAAGCTGAGGAGGCGCAGGACTTGGAGGAGGAGGAGCAGCAGGAGGCGGGGGGACAATGAGGAGAGGGAGGGCTGCAAAAAGCACTCAGAGATCAACAAAAAACATATCCCGGCAAAGCAACCTAACAGCGATGTGTAGAAGCATATCTGTAAGCATTCCCCTTAAGATTTAGGTGAGAGTCCAGTTGTAGAATTCTGCTGTTCTCGCAGTCGCAGCCTCAGCCTGCCTCGGCTTGCCTCGGCCTCAGCCTCAGCCTGCCTCGGCCTCAGCCTCAGCCTCAGCCTGCCTCAGCCTCAGCCTCAGCCTGCCTCAGCCTCAGCCTGCATCAGCCTCAGCCTCAGCCTGCCTCGCCGCAGCTTGCCTCAGCCTCAGCCACAAGCCTCAGCCTCAGCCTGTCCTCGCTTCAGCCTCAGCCTCTACCTGCCTCGGCCTGCCTCAGCCTCAGCCTGGCCTCGGCCTCAGCCTCAGCCCAGCCTGCTCAGCCTCAGCCTCAGCCTGCCTCAGCCTCAGCCCTGCCTTCAGCCTCACCTCAGCCTCAGCCTCAGCCTCAGCCCAGCCTCAGCCTCAGCCTGCCTCCTGCCTCAGCCTCAGCCCAGCTCAGCCCTCAGCTCAGCCTCAGCCTCAGCCTCAGCCTCAGCCTGCATCAGCCTCAGCCTCAGCCTCAGCTCAAGCCTCAGCCTGCCCTCAGCCTCAGCCTCAGCCTCAGCCTGCCTCAGCCTCAGCCTGCATCAGCCTCAGCCTCAGCCTGCCTCAGCCGCAGCTTGCCTCAGCCTCAGCCTGACTCAGCTTCAGCCTCAGCCTCAGCCTGCCTCGGCTTGCCTCAGCCTCAGCCTCAGCCTGCCTCGTCCTCAGCCTCAACCTCAGCCTGCCTCAGCCTCAGCGTCAGCCTCTCAGTCCAGCCTCAGCCTGCCTCAGCCTCAGCCTCACAGTTGGCTCCGGGAAATCAAAATGTAGCCTGGGAATGGTGTTCTGGGAACACGAAGAACACGAAGTGGCCTACAACTGGCTCCGGGCATTCAAAATGTGGCCCGGGAATGGTGTTCTGGGAACACGAAGAACACGAAGTGGCCTACAACTGGCTCCGGGCATTCAAAATGTGGCCCGGGAATGGTGTTCTGGGAACACGAAGAACACGAAGTGCGTTACTGTTTGCTTTAAACGAATTCCCCGGCATCCCCCCGGATCGCGCCCAGACCCCCCTGGGGCGTCATGATGCTCTCTTTTGACCCTACTAGAAACCTATCAGTCTTCGCTGTTAGGTAATGAACCACCACGACCGAGACCCCATTGGGGAGGGGGGGGCGGTCCCTGGGCGGTGGCACGCCCGAGCGCCACCCAGCACAGTGCGACGCTCGGGCGTGCCACCGCCCAGCCAGCCCGCCCGATGGGTTTTCAGTGGCGGTGGCCACTTTTTCTCCGTCTAAGGCATGAGGGAGGGTATGACGAGGAGAAAGAAGACCAAAATTAACCCAGGATCAATGAACGATGCTGGAGTAGGCCTTCCCGTCCCAAGCCCAGTCCACACCAGCCCCTACAAATCCCACCAGCCCTTTGGGCGTGAGTGGTTTAGCGAGCTCTCTCTGTTCTCAACCCCCTAACCCCCTATCTTCCCCTTCGGGGAAGGGTTTACCCCTCCCCCTACCCCCTCCCCCTGGGCCTGGAGAGGGCGGGCCGAGTGTAACCACGGGGGTCTTTTTCGACTCCTGGGAGGGCCAATAAACGACGACCCTCACGAGGATTCTGGCCCCCGGGGGGGTGGGACCGTTTGGCGCCTCAGACCGTCTTTGAAGCAAAAAACATTGATTTGACGAGGGTGTTGGCCCCATGTTGGCCTTCTGAGGGGGCCGCGCTCATCTCCCCTCATAGCAAAATCATTGATGTTACGAAGGTTTTGGGCTCATTTTGTCCTTCTCAGGGGGCAGCTCTCATTTGCGCTTCTGAGGAGGTCGCGCAAGAGGCCCCAAGATGGCCCCAAGAGGCCCCCAGGAGGCTCCCAAGAGGCCTCCAAGAGACCCCCCAGAGGCCCCCAAGCGGCCCCAAGAGGCCCCCAAGAGGCCCTCAAGAGGCCCCCAAGAGGCCCCACGAGGCCCCAAGAGGCCCCCAACAGGCCCCCAAGAGGCCCCCAAGAGGCCCCACGAGGCCCCAAGAGGCCCCCAAGAGGCCCCCAAGAGGCCCCCAAGAGGCCCCCAAGAGGCCCCACGAGGCTCCAAGAGGCCCCCAAGAGGCCCCACGAGGAGCCCGAACGACTCACACCAGGACGAGGGGCCCGAACGACTCACACCACGAAGAGCCCGAACGACTCACACCACAAGGAGGGGCCCGAACGACTCACACCAGGACGAGGCGCCCGAACGACTCACACCACGAGGAGCCCGAAGGACTCACACCACGACGCGGGCCCCGAACGACTCACACCACGAGGAGCCCGAACGAGTCACACCAGGAGGAGGGGCCCGAACGACTCACACCAGGACGAGGGGCCCGAACAACTCACACCACGAGAAGCCCGAACGACTCACACCAGGACGAAGAGCCCGAACGACTCACACCACGAAGAGCCCGAACGACTCACACCAGGAAGAAGGGCCCGAACGACTCACACCAGGACGAGAAACCCCAAACGACTCAAATCACGAGGAGCGCTTTCTCTCCCTCCTCCTCCGCCTCGTCCTTCTCCCGCTCCCCTCACAAGGAGGATGTACAAGGAGGCGGGAGGAAGGAGGAACAGGGGAGATATGCGGGGCCAAGCGGACACACGCCTGAAAAACACGACTGTCGGCATGCTTCGCGAGAGTTGCTGCTGTGAGATGGGCTGGTGGGGATACGCGAAGCGTAAAGAATTTCCATTCCCCTCCGAGACACGCTCTCTTGGAAGACGAGCACCCTATTGGCCTGCCACTCCGGCGAGAGCCCCGCATCGAAAGGGAACTGGATTGCATCCGTCTCGCGAATACAGAAAATTCAAAAAAAAAAAAAAAAAATCAATTCAACGAGGTGTCCAGAGTGGTGTCTGTTACGCTATCGTACACTTCTTGTCACTTGATGCGAGGAACTCTCAATCGAGAGCCCAAAGTTTGAAAAGGGATGACATTCCATCCGTGCAGCTGCTACGTATGCTCAAGCCTCTGACCTTCAAGCTCGAGGAAGTCTGAAGCTAAAGCCCCATGTTGAAAAGAAGCCGCCCTCATATGTGTTTCTTTTTTGTTCCGCCCTCATCTTTGCAACTGCTGCAAACTTGTACAAGACCTATGTGCGCTGCGTTAGGACGAGATTCCATGTTTGAAAAAGAGACCCCCTCCATTCTTGGAAGTAATGTTTGAAAAAGAGACCCCCTCCATTCTTGGAAGTAATGCAAAGCTGTACGACGAATGCGCGCGGCGCTACTGCAGGAGCCCAACTTCGAAAACGACCGATCTCACCACCATCCCTGTAACTGCTGCAAGTTTTGAAAGCGAGTGTGCGCGGCTCTCAGGCGAGATTCCTCTTTTGAAAACGCCCCCGCCTCCATCCTTGTACCTGTCGGAAATTTCAGGCTTCATGCTCATAGACGGTGCGCAAGTCTCAAGCGAAACGCCCACCCCGCCCTACCGAAGCGTCTGGTGGTGCGACACGGAGGAGGTATGTGTAAGACGAATACAAGGAGGCGGGAGGTGCGTGAGGGCACGAGGACGTGAGGACGCGACGGCGTGAGGGTGAGGGCGGCGGACGGGCGGGGGACGGGACAGGGGACGGGGACGGGGAGGGGGGGGGAGGGGGCGAGAGAAGGGGGAGGAGGCGGCGCAATGAGGTGGGAGCTGCCCATCTTGCAAAGCTGCGCTTC